TTATTTGACTCCCAATACTAGGAGAAGAAAAAACACTCTCAGACCTAGAGAGAAAAAAAACCTTAGCTTATCCAAATCTATAATTTATAAAATTACTGACTTCTAGTTTCAAATTATTATATTGAATAACTTCTACTAAGCGTAAGAAAGCATTTGGGATTTGATTTCAGCTTGCTTCTCCACATAGGCATACATTATTTAAAATATTAATTATTTTTTTAATTTTAGATTGTACAATGGAAGCAATCCTTTTTATCTTTCAACTCATCTACTCATCTATTCACATGTCATTTGGTTCAAATTTATGATATTTTACTTCTAAAATGGGAATATTATCACCAAATTACTTAAGTAGTTGATAAAATATTAATTTATTATAATTTGATTATAATTAATGCCTTTGCCACACTAAGGTTGGAATCCCAAATCTAATGTAAATCAAATATGGTTATGATTTATAATTAATGGAATGAATTCAATCCATGGTATCAACAATTTTATATATTTTTATATTATACAAATATACTCAACAATCCCAAATGTAGCCTAATCATCTACCTCACTCTCATTTCTCAAATTTTTTTTATTATTTTATATAAATTGCGTAATGAAATGTGACATGTTTTCATTCCTTTATTTAACTTATTACATATTTACAACTTGAATCTACTATTTCTTACCCTAAGAAGAGATTATATTAACCTGCTTAAATTGCTAGCAATTCACGGGAGAGTTAACAAATAGATTCATGACAAATTTTGGGGGTAAAATACTGAGTTAGATACGAAAAGTGGGGCAAAGGATTGGGTCATGTTGATGTTGTGACCTACACGAGTTGCATCAGCTCCATTCCGAACTGACAGAATGCTGTTCAGCAATCTTTCATTATAAAAAGAACTTATGTCTGTTTTATCCAATATTTGTAATTTTAAATCTCATCAAATGGGTCCATAGCTCATTGGTAGAGCATTTGACTGCAGATCAAGAGGTCACCGGTTTGAATCCGATTGCGCCCTTCAATTAAAAATTTTACCATGTAAATTTGATGAGAAACCTGCATTTGAGTTTTTGAACTTTGGTGCATAAATCCATCCTTACGGTTAGGAGCTTAAAAATTTAGCAAAACACTAGCAAATATTTTACTTCATTGATGTATTCAAGTGTTTCTCCGTGCCCACAAAAGCATACCTCAAGTGGGAGATAAGAGCAAATTTAAGTGAGGTATTTCCAGAACGCACTGAATATACTTGGGTTTTTAAGGTAATCTTAGAGATTATCCCTTCCCTTTTAGCTTCCTGAATTGCCTACTTTTTTCCATCTCTGCATGATGACTGCTGCTTTGTCCCGCTGTAAGGTCAGGTGATGATTGCAAAGGCTCTTCTGAAGAAGGCTCTCCAAGCTAAAGTAAGGTTGCCAGTGGATAGAGACATCCCTGTCATGGGCTTCATTATTAAGGAAACAACTGCTGTTTGAGCTAGATTGATTCTATTCAACAGTTCATCTTTGATTGATCTCTCATTCAATATTGTATCTTTGATTTGATTTATACATTGTAATAATGATTAGGATAGTCACCTTGTATTTATTGATTTAGTTTCCATTCTTCTTGAACTGTAATACATGTATATATTTCCATGAAATCAATACAGAAATCATCATTCCACAAATATCACTTTTGATGCTCTGTTATTCATCAGCAGACTTGAAGAGCAAAAAGGTTCGGACATTCTTGTAGAAGCCATCCCTCAATTTGTTAGGGAAAAGGTTCAGATAATAATTCTTGTAAGTGCGCAATTAGGAAACTGCTTTTTCCTCCTGGTTCTTCCTTAGAAACACAGATGAATAACTTACTGTGAGATGCTTGGTGAACTCCTCGGGGAACTGGCAAGAAGCCAATGGAAAAGCAGATTCAACAATTGGAGATATTATACCCTGACAAGGCCAGAGTCGTAGATAAATTTAATGTTCCCTTAGCCCATATGATCCTAGCAGGTGCAGATAACATGCAGTTGAATGAGACCGCAGGGCTCAACTCTACCTTTCTTTTTTTCTTTTTTTTTTTGAATGATTTGCAGAGAAAATAACTGAAGACCACTAAAGTTTGTCTGCATAATGTCATTGCCTTTATTTCTCTTTAGGCACCTATTGTTGCATCAATTGGTGGGTTGGTTGACACTGTCAGAGAGGGTTTCATATATAGGGTTTCAAATGGGAGCCTACAATGTCGAGGTGATTACTGTTTCAGACTGTGTTGCCGCTGTTCTTGCAGACGTGATTGTAGTGGCTTCAACTGCCCTACAGAGCTATGGTACACCAGTTATGGCAGAAACAACCGTTAGAAGGGCCATAAAGATCAAATACTACTAATATGAGTGAACATTTTTAAACTTGAATAAGTGAAACAGATGACTGCCAGCAGTAACTAAATATGATTATAAGGGCCATAAAGATCAAATACTACTAATATGAGTGAACATTTTTAAACTTGAATAAGTGAAACAGATGACTGCCAGCACTAACTAAATATGATTATAACTAAAAGCAAGCATAAATAGGCTGATAACAGGCTGAGTTTAGACTGGAGCAGTGCCTTCTGTGAATTTTGGATCCTCAAATCTGTATTGACCATCAGCTCCAATTCCAAAACCTTTTGGATCTGCAAACACATTTTCAAGTAGCTGGCTCCGAGGTGGATGAGGGCTTTCATCCGCAAACTCAACAGCATCTTCCACTACCTCCTCTATCTTCTTATCTATGGCCTTTAACTCTGCTTCACTGCCTAGATTGTTCTCAATCATGTACTTCTTCAATGCAGGAATGGGATCTCTAGCAGCATATTGAGCTTTCTCAGCTGTCAAAGAGTCAAATTTTGAGTAAGATTGCACTTTACAAACGGTGAAGATATTTATAATAGAAGATTAGTGCAATTACAATCCCGTACACATTGTTGATCACCTAAGAAGCCCGAAACCCATTCCTCTAGTTCCAATTAACATAATAATATAGTGCCAAAGTGAAAGGGAATTTCCATATACATAGAAGTTTACAACACAAAACCATGAATCCAACGTTAGGATATTTTCCAGTATATACTTGTTTGCCTACATGTACATGCTGATGTTGTTTATGTCATCATTACGAGTGCTGTTTTGTTTAGTTAGTTGGGAAAACATAATTTCTGAAGAGAGTAAGGAAACAACCAAATGTAACATCTTCTCTGGATCATATTAGTAAGCGAACAAAAAAAGGAACCAAACAAAAAATTTAAATGCTTACCAGGATCACGAAGATCATCAGGTTCAGACGAAATGTCGTGTCCCCTAAACCTATATGTCTCGCATTCCACCAATGTTGGACCTTCTCCTCTTCTAGCCCTTGCAATTGCTGTCTTTGCAACCTTTCTTACCTTCAAAACATCCATCCCATCGACATGAATACCGGGCATTCCAAAAGCTGGTCCCTTATTGTAAATCTGAGGATCAGAAGCTGCCCTCAGATGAAACGTCCCATAGGCCCACAAATTATTCTCCACAACAAACACAATTGGCAACTTCCATAGTGCTGCCATGTTCAAGCACTCAAAGAACTGCCCATTGTTACAACTTCCATCTCCAAAAAATGCCAATGTTACATGATCACAATCTGCCTCCTTCAAGGCCTCTCTCCTATACTTGGATGTGAATGCGGCACCAGTGGCCACTGGAATTCCCTCTCCAATAAATCCATACCCACCAAGCAAATTGTGTTCCTTTGAAAACATGTGCATAGACCCACCTTGGCCTCGGCAGCATCCAGTGGTCTTACCAAGGAGCTCACTCATCAGAGCACGAGCAGGGACACCCTTACTCAGGGCATGCGCATGACAACGGTACGTGCTGACCACAGAATCTTCCTTCTTCACGAGCTTAATAAACCCAGTCGAAACAGCCTCTTGACCATTGTACAAGTGAGCAAAACCACACATCTTCTCCCTGTAATAGATTTTAGCACACTTGTCCTCAAATGCTCTTCCCAAAATCATATCTTCGTAAAGCTCCAAGCCTTCCTCCTTAGTGACCAACTGAATACAATGCGCAGCAATAAATATATAGAAGCAAAAACTTAACATAAAATTTCCCCGTAGAAAATATCGTCTCACGAAAACGAATCATTTCAGAATAAAAGTAGCAGCCTTTTCCACCAAAGCAACCACAGAATTATCACTATATTCTACAACCCCCAAGAAAAGATCATGAATCTAAATATCTTGGTTCATACAAAATAAAACCACGACATATCGCTCCAATTTTATTATTATTTTATGCCGTTCAAGAAAAAAATTATTAGATTCATAAACAAATTTTGAATAAATACTTAATAATACTTTAATTATTTCAAATTTTTTTACTAATTATTTTCAAATTTCACTTCAATTATTATATAAAAAAGTATAAATTAATCCCAATTCTCAAAAATAATAAATCATTTTATTTAATTAAAACTCACTTCAAAATTTAAAAAATTATCTTATTAAATGTTAATATATTAAAATATATAATGAGTTTTTAAATTTAA